AGCCAACCGTAACGGTTGAACAATGCTTATTTCAGCTTCTGTATATTGCTTTGCTAGGTTTCCATCCATCTCCATGCCAACAGGATGTAGTTTTGCCTTTATAGTCTCCCTGTGAAGACTGTTCAGAGCTGCGAGTCTGTTTAGGGCATAAGCCCCTCGTAGCCGCCGGCTTAATAAATTCCAAAAGCTCAGTTTGGTCTCTGTGAATTAATCTTGTGAAAACTGGGTATAACAATGTGTATATCTTTTTCGGGAAGAAACCTCTATTTGACACTGCGATATTGTGATCGTGGACAAAAAAGGGGTTCTATGGAAAATAACTTCACAGGGTGATCTGATCACGAATCCCTAACTGGGCAGGTCATGGTGAGTAGTCATGATATGACATTTTAGTAAAAGATTTATCTTTGGCCCAGCTGGTGTGGTTCAGTGGTTGAGCATCAACCCAGGCACCAAGAAGTCACTGATTCGATTTCCAGTCAGGGCACATGCCTGAGTTTTGGGCTCAATCCCCAGCTGGGGTGTGCAGGAGGTAGCCGATTGATGTTTCTCTCTCATCCAGATGTTTCTGTCTCTCCCTTTTCCCTCTCCCTTCCTCTCTCTCTAAAACTCAATAAATACATATTTTTTTTTAATTAAAAAAAGATTTATCTTTGCCTTAGTAAGCCCTGTTCATTGTTTCCATGCATCTAGGTTAACACATCTTTGAAATGAGCTGGAACCAACCTCAAGAGAGCACATAATCTCACTATCCTGTAATTCAATTTCTGTCTTGCTTCTCCCACCTCGATGTAATCTTTTTTAAATCCCCTCTTTAATTTCAAATGTATAAAAGAAGTTGCAAAACTGTTATTCTCTGGAACATTTGAGATCTTGCTCCCCAGCACATTTCATCAGTTTGGTTCAAATAAACTCATACAAGTTATCTACAGATTTGAATATTTCTGACGACATGATTTATAAGAAATATGTATTTGGTCATAGACACCTAGCTGGTGTCTGAGAATTGTTTGTTGGTGCAGCATACCCCCCACCCCCAACACACACATTGGAACTGGGTCTGGAAACCCTACTCAAATCCTTTACTCATTTTTAAAAAATTAATGCATTGTTTCTGACAAGAAGCCTGCTGTCATTCTTATCTTTGTTCTTCTGTAGATAATTAGTCTTTATTTTTCTGAAGGCTTTATTATTTTCTCTTTACCACTGGTTTTGAGCAATTTGATTACAATGGGTCTTAGTTTTTACAACCATTAGAGCTCCAATTATCAATAACATAGAAGCAATAATAAAATTTACAGCATAGGGTTTGTGTCCCCATGGCCAGGAAGCAGAAAAATATTTGAAGAAATAATGGCTGAAAATCTTCTTAATTTGATGAAAGCTCAAAAAGCTCACCAACCCCCAAACTCAGGAAACATGAAGAAAACTACATTAAAGCATACTTCCCTGAGACTGGAAAGTATGAAGGAAATGACAGACATCAAGGAAGTGATCTTATAAAACTGTGTCTGAATTTGTGATCTCACCTCTAAGTAATGCATGTGTCAATTGGTCCTAAATTGCACACCAAAAACTTTGGGAGCCCCGGCTGGGCATGGCTCAGTGGTTGAGCATCAACCTAAGATCCAAGAGATCGTGGTTTGATTCCCAGTCAGGACACATGCCCAGGTTGTAGGCTCGATCCCCAGTCGGGGGTGTGCAGGAGGCAGCAGATCAATGATGACTCTCTCATCATTGACATTTCTCTCTCTCTCTCTCGCTCTCCTTTCCTCTCTCTGAAATCAATAAAGATACATTTTTTAAAAAAAAACTTTGGGAATGAAACTATGGGGTAGACCACTTCTCAGGTCTGAGATTGACTGCTGGGTGGTGTACATGAAGGACAGATCTAAAAAACACTACAACAGCCCTGGCCAGGTAGCTCAGTTGGGTAGAGTATCGTCCAGATGTGCCAAGGTTTTAGGTTCAATCCCAGGTCAGGGCAAATACAAGAATCAATGAGTGAATGCATAAATAAGTGAAACGACAAATTGATGTTTTTTTCTCCCTCTCTCTCTCCCTCTTTTTCTAAAATCAATTTAAAAATAAAAATAAAAAGCACTGCAAAAGCTTTGAAAACAGAACTAACAAAGCCATAGTCATCAGAATTGTGGTAGGAAATGGTTAATTAAAGCTAACTGGGTCAATTGCCTGCTAAAACAAAGCCAAAAAAAAAAAAAAAA